ATTGTTAAAGAATTTAAGGATTTTAGAAAAGTACCACTATCAAGTAGAATTATGGAGGTAAAAATGAGGAAGTACTCTTGCAAGATGGAAGTGCCTTAGATGCAAGTTTTATTGGCATTTTTGAAAATGGAAGTATTATATATAAGAAAATTGAAGATTTTAAATATATATAAATTAAAAATATTAAAAGATGATAATAAGATTTTAAGTATTTATAAAGAAAATAGATTGGAATATTTTTTGAAATAAATTACATCTATTGAATTAAAAGATGATGATAAAATTGTGGCGATTCATTCAAGAGAAGTTTATTTTGTAATGACCAAAAGTTTTTACAAAGACCAAAAAAAAAAACTAGGATGCCATAACGAGTGATAGAAAATATGAAATAGCAATAAAAATTACTAAAAGGATTTCAAAATAGTTTAATAGGTTGAAATATAATTACCTCAAATTATCAAAAATTGATCAGAGAGGACCGGTTGTCAATCTAATCAAAATCAGATTCCAAGGTACAAAACTATGCATATTTGGTGATTCTAGGATTTTTTTGCAAATTGAAGAGAAAAATTTGAAAGAAAACTTAAGGAGAGATTTTTAAATATTGGTTTCATGTCATTTGAATTAATATTGAGATTTTTGAAGATTTTCAAAATTAGTGATGTACCCAATAAGTTAGGAATTTTAGAAACTAAAATAAGTTTATAAATTTCAAGATTTTGTGAATTTTTTAGTGTGTTTATAAGAAAAAATTAGAGAATTTGTTGTTATCTTTATTATAAATGTGTAGAAAAAATTTGAATTAAATTGAGTAAGTAGATTGAAATTTATGAAGAATTTGTGGATTATTATCTTGAATAATAGAGATTTAGGATCAATTAAGGATTTTATAATATGATAATATTTACTAATTCGATTAAATCAAAAATTAATGAAAGAAATTTAGACTAGAATACCTTCATATAATCCAAATTCAGAAGCAATTGAATGGTCGAAGGAGAAAGATGATCAACAATTAAGAGGTTTGGAGAGCTTTTCTTGATATTGGTATATGCAAACTTTTTCAAATTATTTGTGCTTATTATAAACTTATTTGTTTCAATGTATGAAAAGTTTGAATCAAAATCAATAGTTTAATCATTAGTTATTGAATTTTTAATCTATTCTATGATTATTAAGAGTTTTATTTAAGATTTAGGATTTGATTATGGATTAATTTGAATTGATTTAGAGTCTAGAATATGATTAGGATTTTTTTTAGGATTTAATTAAAAATTAAGATTTATGTAGGATTTGATTAGGATTTAGGATTTTATCTTGATATGATTAGAATTTGATTGAGGTTTTATTAGGGTTGGTCTATGATATAGGATTTCATTAGGATTTTAATAGGGCTTTATTAAGATTTATCTAGGATTTAGGATTTTATTAGGATTTCATTAAAATTTGATCTAAGATTTTGTTGAAGTTCATAAGAGTTTCAATTAAGGTTTGTCCTAGGATTTGATTAAGGATTCAATAGGATTTACTTAAGGTTTCAATTAAGATTTGATCTAGGATTATTTAGAATTTTTTTAAGATTTCTATATTTTAAATTTCTTTAGGATTCTTTTTAATTTCTTTAAAATTTTATATTTTTATATTTATTTATATAATTACTATTTATTTAAAGATTTAATTTTTATTTTTTTAAAAAAAATCTTATTATTTTTTTAAAATTAATTTATAAATTCTTTATGTTTCTTTTATAACTTCTTTATTTTGGATTTATTAAAGTTTGATTAGGATTATTAAAGATTACTTAAAGTTTTATTTAAGACTTTATTAGATTTAATATAATTTTTATTGATTTTCTTCTTATCTTCTATGGCTAGGTGTCTGGTGCATTCTCAAGCAAGAATACAAAGAATACAATATTATTCCTAGTCAGACAATCTTAATTATACTATAGCTATGTATAAATTATGAATTGTGCTTGTAAGGGCTATGGACTATTGATAGAGTTTCTTGAAGCTCCAACACCTTCTTCTTGTTTTTCTTGAACTCTTGTATTGCTTCTAATAAGAGCTACCAAAAAAAATTAAACTTCTTCAAAAGTAATAAAAAAAAACTATGTTTTATAAAACAACCTCATATATACATTTAACTTGCAATGAATAATTTAAAAGTACTAAGTTTTGATTCCATGGAATAAGATATAAAAAAGTATATTACTCAAATCAAAGTACAAATATGTGAAGAGAAGAGAATTAAAACTGCTTGCAAAAATGAGCTTCTAATTTGAATTCTTATATTACTAGTCCAATGTCTAACTACATAGACTTTCTAGTATGAATACTCAGACAACTAACTTAGTCAATGATGTCTAATTAACATCTTTGCTCTTGCTTCTATATATACTATCTACCTAGGATCTATATGGTGATGTTCTATAAGACCTCCAAAAATGTGTTAATATTGTATGACATGTATCTTGACTTGTAAGGCAAGTTTTTTATATAGACGCTACATAATTAGCTTGTTTTGCCAGCTATTAATACATGTGGTATGTGATTAGCTTGTTGACCAAGTTTTTAACCTATTAATCAATTGTAAACACATATAAAGTCAAAATAGTATCTAAAAAGCTTCTAAGAAGCTTTTGTAGAAGATATTATGAAATTAATCTACTTTTACCTACTTCTACTTATTCATATTATTTGAGTAACAATTATAGAATATATATAATTATCACACCTACTTGAGATAACAAAACATATCTAAATCTTATTTTAAAATGAAATTATTCTACCAAGAATTTCTTCTTTAACAACTTTTTTGAGACTTTTCACCAATTTCTTCCAAAATATCATCATGTCTTCAAAGTCCATAGATACATAATTAATTATTTTCTATAATATTTTATATTATAATTTCATATCCCTTCTTCATCTATAAAGCTTACTATAAAATAAATAAATAAATAAACATATATATATATATATATATATATATATGATTTTTAGAAAATTATATATATATATATATATATATATTTATATCATCTTTTCAAAGATATGGAATACTTAGCTTTTTTGGTCTTTTAATTATTTTTCTACTTTTGAAATTCGAAATTTCTAGTTAACATGGCTATATAAGGTGAATTTGGATTTTTCGATATACAAGGGATAAACTGATTTTTATTTGATTAAATATTTTTATATATGTAAAATCTTAAATTTTACATTTGAAAGTTTAACTTGTAGTTTAATATTAAGAAAATTACTAAGAAGGAGGTATTCAATCCTATTACCGTATGTAAATAGAATATGGTATTATTCTTTTTATATAAAACATTATCAAGCAAATCAAATGACAAAATTTATGGAGTTATATAATATTTTGGAATTTTTTTTTATCTTAAATTTATGAATTTTTTACAAATGATTTAAATCGTTCGTTTTTTATTTAATTAATAATGATTATATTATAATGATAATATTATAATGATATCTTTAATTAAACCTCAAGTTGTGCATGTCAATAAAAAAATTAATTCTCATATTTCTATTCTTTTTCCTTCCACTAGCCAAAAGTTCTTCATGCTAAACAAAACTTTGTCACACAAAACATGTGCGAGAGTTGTACTCTTTCTAAATTATTTCAATGAAGAGAATGGGTACTTTTACATATTTCATTCAACTTCCAAATTAATTTTCACTCAGCACTACCATTTCATTTGATTACAGTAACCACTCTTACACCATGGAAAACCTATCGAACCCTAAATACTCCACACCACCATACTCAATCATGTGCATGGGGCCCCCCAAATCTCCAAACCACACAAGGATTCACAGCAACCAATAGTATTGATGGCAAGACAAAACATGTGAGACTCACAATATTTTCATTTCTTTCCTAACTTTCTTTTCTTTTCTTTTCTTTTCTTTCTTTGCATGCTGTACAAGTGTTGTCCTTGTGATATCAGAAATCTGTTTGTTAAATAAACCATAAAACACAATTCTTGTGTTTTAAAACACATCCCCACAAGCCCATTTCAGTGTTGACACAGTCCATCATACTCAAATACAAGAAGAATGTGTCACAGTAAAAACCAAAGACCTGCAGAATAAATGGACTGTAAATTTATTTATTTATTTGTGAATGTATGTATGTATTTGTTTCAGTGGAGAAGTGCCCATAGAAGGGAACAAGGGGAACAAAGCAGTAAGGGGACGTGGAGAACAACATACTATTAATAAATAAATTATACAGAAAAGACAAAAATCGTACCCCATCAATGAATGCCACACTGCTGGAAATCCAACTTGGAAGTGCATTTGGAGATTTTTATTTATTTATTTGTTTATTTTTTATGCAAAATCAAACAACAAATGGGATTACAAGAGTAAAAATCCAAATAACAAGTTATCTTCAACTGTCTGTTGCATCTTTGTGCAAAAAGAATTATGCCTTATCGCAATCTTTATTTCACAACACATGTGCATTTCTAAAATAAATAACTAAAAGAAGTTGGCGGGGTATATTTAATGTCGAGGTGAATCAAACTGGAAGCAAAAGGAGAGAGAGAATTGGGACCATTAAATGCCCACTTTAAAAATCATTCCCGAAGGTTAGAGTCAGTTTGAAAAGATAAAGGAAAATACTTTCTTAACTCTAGGGTCATGTCAACTTCTTCATGGCAAATAACTATTCTTCTTTTTGGTTTTTTAAATAAAAAAAAATAAAAAAAAGTTAAAAGACTCACTTCAGTAATTTCCCTTACAAATGTTCACTTCACATAAAAAGCGTCGCGTAGAAAAAGTCGCCCGCTACTTTTTCACCAAAAAGGAAAAGTAGGGCCTCGAGATCTAATTCTGGAATTGGTCTTGATCGTCATTACGAGAATTAAGCGCCGATTTTTCTGCATGAAGAGTTGTGTGTTACAGCGTGTGTTGGAGCTCAGAATTCTGTCTCCGAATCAAGATTTTGAATGATGTTTTCTCCAGTCGACCTTTTTTCAGAGATCATTAATCTTGTCGATAAGCGGAAAAAAAAAAACAAAGAATGCAGACTGTCAGTTCTCAAAGCAGAGCTAGTTGTACTGGTAGCCTGGCTTGGGGAAGAGCGTGAAAAGAGAGTGCAGTGAGTGTGCAGAAAGTGCAGAAGGCCAATGCATGGACGGTATCTATCGTCTTACGAGCATCGTGTTAGTATTAACGAAAACAGGAAAGAAAAGATGGCAGGGAGATTACGAAGGGGACTCGTGAGCCGTCTGTGGAGGAGAGGAGGAGATGATGCTCATCTAATGATGGTGAAGCACATGCGCAGCATGGTGGCTTCTCTAGCTTTCTAAGGCATGGCCAGTATAGCGACGAGAGAGAGAGAGAGGAGGAGGAGTATGGGAGACGGAGAGAATGAGAAATAGCGACCCTCTCAGTTCACTCGCTTGCGGTTGCTTCAGTGGTCCCTAGTAAGCGCCTATGAGGGGATAGATTGAGTGGACAATTAAGCGAACGTGAAGAAGACAGGATTGAAGGAGAGTTGTTTGATTGCGTAGGGGATAGTCTTATTCAGCTGTGAATTCACATTGCTGCCCACTTAACGCTGCAGGGCCACCCCCAGGTAACGGGTCAACCAATTTCCACCAACTCCATTCTCTTTTTGTACAAACCGATTCAAGCGCTAGCGAACTTCCAGCTGTCGTCTCTCTTTTGCAGCCTCGTGTGATTGCTTGTTTGAAGGCACTGGCTTCGCTTGGCATGAGATGTTGGCTGCGACACTGTTGAGAGAGCCAGAGTAGAAGAAGAGAAGTTTTAATTAGATTTCTTCTAGGTGGTTCAGAATTCCGGAAGCCAACGTTGACAACTCTAGGAAGAAGATTGATCAGGCTTTTTGCGGTTGTATCCAAGCAATGGTTGAGACTCTGGAGGGCGTGAAGCTAGCAGCAAGAGCGCCAAGAATGGAGATGATGAGCACCGACGAGGATAGCAAAGCCGAGTATCTGTATGTTGATGTAAAAGGTAAGAGACTTAGCATTACAGGCATTTAAGTGCATCCGGTATTCATGTAACTTAGCGAGTGAAACAATTAGAATAACTCACTTAGGTTTACACCAGATATGAAATCTGGATGACTTTTACATAGCAAACTCAGTCGTGGTTCTTGGAGTTTCAATGCATTGATCTTCGCGATGCACCTTTCTGGTGCTATGCCAGTATTTTTCAACTGGGAGGATCACGTGCCTCAGGAACCAGTCTCGCTTATTTCCGCAATCTCCTCTACCTTCTATCAGAATCCACGCAAGACCAGGTCTCACAGTTCTACAAGATGGTGCGGTCCCCCTCACATGCTTCAGACATCGGCTTGAGAAAGAATTTAAGAGTCTGGCTGCAGGCAATGAACCTAGACTGTACAAATACACCTCTAGACCATCGAGGAGCATTCCTTCAATTCCCCACAGATCGTCTTTCTGTGCCACTTCAATATCTAATTGTAGCTGAGTTTATGGTGCCATCCTATCTGTTTCGGTAGCATATTCTACATCTAAATTTTTATCGTGCGCACAGTTTGATTGCTCGAATTAAGAGTACATAGTCAAGCTGAAGTATGAATTTCATTCATTTCAGACGGCTGTCCATGTTAAGGACTAATTTTTGAGCCTTACTTTCCTAGTATGCAAAGTTTGCAAGAGGTCAGTGTTCCCGCCCTTTTCCGGGGTTAAGTGCGCCTCGAACCTAGATTGTGAATACTTTTTTCCTGACATCATGATCGTTCAAGATTTGCGAGCAAAATGTGTGAGAAGCACTCATTTATGTTGTTGTTAATGCCTTGCAGCACCAGTTTTGGCGGGTTTTCCTCTCAAGTGCTTCGCATGGCTCTTGGAGACAGGATTGGCAGGCTCTTTTCTCTTGCCAAAACTCAAAAAGGACAACTTGATTACCAAGGTCATTCAGAAATACAACCATCATCTAATAGATAAGAATCTGTTCCTCTGAGGTCTTAATTCCCTTCACCGTTTTGTGCAGATGCAATATGAATGATAATCATTTTAGACAAATAGATGCCGGTGGAGAATATAGTGCAGTATAAGACCGTACGTTGAATTTTCCGTCATGGCTTGCACTGTTGTCTTGTGCAGACATTTTTGGAGTTACGTTATGAAGAACCACCCATGTACATTCCGCAATATGCCCACGACGATTGTAAGAACTTTACCATTCCACAAATTCCTGCTCGAGCTGCACCCTAAATCATCTTTGTCATGATGCAGAGTGAACGCTATCAAATCTTACAGAATCGATGCAATACTCACCCTAACTTTTCTCAACGTTATGCACAAATGAACTCTGAGGTAGGAATAAAGGTAAACCAACTAATATTAGTTTTATTTACAAACTTCTGTATAGTAAAGAGTATGACAAATTCTATGGATTTTCAGCAGATCATATTCAGGAGCAAATGGTACGAAGATTAGAGCCACACACAATGCCTGCAGTGAGTGTAGAGTGTGGAGTTAATTGCCTGCCACCATATGTAGCACGGAATATAAACAAACCGGTGGGAGGAGTGAAGGGGTTCGGTCACCGAACCATTCGTGACTATGCCCATGCTTATTCCTCAGGAAGGATCACTCCAACGCAGGTATGACCTGTTCATGTTGAATCTAATGCTTCTGGAAGTCTACGCACTGTAATTTAGACTGTCCACTTATGGACCTCGCACTTTAAATAGGTGGCGGAGCAGTTTATATCTGCAATCGAGGATTCCAGAAAGGCTGGAATGAACCTGTTTATTGCGATGGATTCGGGAGACGTGCTTTCACAGGCTGCTGCAGCAACTGAGCGCTATAAGCAAGGTACTGTACTCAGGTCACAGTATTGTGTTATATATATATATATATATATATATATATATATACACATATCAATGCTACAGTATCCTTTCCATTAGTTTATACTCCAGTTATAGTGGATGCGGTTAATCTTGTACTCTTCAGGAAGTATACTATGTTCTTTTCTGTGCGTTGTTATCATAATCGAGTTCGTTGGCAACGTAGTACAGCAGCTCAACGCTTGCTTGTGGCCATCGGTTTGTGTTTCAGGAAAGCCGTTGTCTGTGTTGGATGGAGTTCCAATTGCTGTGAAGGATGAGATAGATTGCTTACCATACAGAACTACTGGTAAGAGAATGTCGTGGGGTGTATCCATCGAAATAAAATTTCACATTTGGCTTGAAGCTGAATATTATTTATTAAATAGTTTATGTTAAGGTGCCGAATTAAATACAATGTTGCACAGGAGGGACCACATGGCTTGGCAAAGTGCGGGAGGTCAAGGAGGATGCAGAAGCGGTGAAACGCCTGCGTAGTTGTGGAGCAGTGATGGTTGGGAAGACCAACATGCACGAACTTGGGATGGGCACCACTGGCATCAATCCACACTATGGGTGCGATTTTATGGTTCTAGAAGTACTAACTGCGTGATACAATCCTGATACTTGCAAGGCTCGCAGAATCTTATCGCTGTTGATTGACACGAAAGGATTTTCCTATATTTTCATCTTACCGCCTGATAGTGAATTCAACTTCTCAGATTTAAATGACCCTATTTGTGGAATCATTTAGCGTGAAACATTTCTTTCTGCAGAGCAACCCGTAACCCCCACAACATACTGAGGGTTTCTGGGGGTTCGTCTGGGGGATCTTCTGCTGCTGTGGCAGCTGGTATTTGTCCAGCAGCACTTGGCGTAGATGGAGGAGGTGATTCTCCAAGGCCAATTTCTTTCTCTAAAGGAAAACTATCATATATCAGTTGTATTATTTTGGTGCTGCTCTCAATGTATTGTACTTCTGTCTACACGTGCGAATTTTTTTGATTGTCAGTTCCGGGTTGCATCCAGCGCCTGATTTAATTACTGTTGGGGGGTTGCTGCATGCGTGGCGACAGGATCAGTGCGGATGCCGGCTGGTTTGTGTGGAGTTGTGGGCTTCAAGCCCACGTTCGGCCGTACATCAAATGCTGGGTGTGTCCTGAATTAAACCTTCTATCTCTTGGCCGAACAACAAAGTTATTTTTTTCTATGAATATTCTGTATGGCACAAAACAACTAGAAACCGCACCGTAACTGTAGGAATAGCACTAATTAAATCCTTCAGAACCATTTAGACAGCCACTTTGGCAGTATCATCCGAGTTCAGGTCCAGTGGAGCCAGTCAAGAAAGGCATATCTAAGAGTGATGGGGAAAATTTTATTATCCTATGATAGCTAATTGAGTGTTGTTGCAGAGTTCTGCCATTGAATTGGACGGTGGGAATGTTGGGGACTCTTACGGGATCTGTGGAAGATGCTCTCATTATGTAAGCTGAAATTTAATCCTTCTTTGAAGACCTAATTGACATTAGATGGTTACTTCATTTCAATCCATGGCTTCTTTCTTTGGTGGTCTCCATTACCGTAATATCCATTAACGTGCTCGTGGCACATTTGAACATGTAGGTACGCAGCAATGCATGGTCCTCGTCCTGATGATGACATTGTGTCCTTTCCGGTGAGCTCTTGACATTCATCCATGAAAGAATTTTAATTCTCAGAAATATTGAGAATTCAAAGACCTGCTTATGTACGTCATGGTAGCTTTAACAACCACTAATTACATCTTACTGATTTTAGCCACCAGCAAACTTGCCTCTCCTGAAGGATCCAGACGAAGCTTCTACCAACACTGCGAAAGTAATGGGGGATCTGAAATTTGCTAAATTCTCAAAGGTACAGCAATAATTTTGTGTATGAGACTTCACTTATGACTATTTGATCACGTACAGCTTTTTCTGTTTGATTTTTGTACTTCTTTGCTCCACCTAGTGAGAATGCTTAGATATGTGACTATTTGTACTGTTGCATCGTTTCGCAGTGGTTCGATGACTGTGATGAACCTGTACGGAACGCATGCCACCGAGCACTGCAATTAGTGCAAACAACCTTCAATACCAAGGTTAGTTTTTCAGTTTTTTCTTATCATAATATCATTTGTACATATGATGCTGTCGATCAAAATGGGATATATATATATATATATATATATATATATGTGTGTGTGTGTGTTTGTGTGTATATATATATATATATATATATATATATATATATACACTTAATCATATACATTGAATTCACCTCAGCACGCTTCATCTCAATGATTTCTTCGGGTGCAGTCGAGTCCTAGTTTCCGCCATTTCTACCTCACGTTCCCTGTCGTTCTGGTGGAGCATTTGATGTTCGCAGGTGGTGGAAGTAACTATTCCCGAGATTGAGGAGATGCGGTTGGCTCATTTTGTTACTATAGGCAGTGAATGTTGCACCTCGCTAGGAGTTGACTACCGAGAATCGTGAGCCCTCCGAGAGTTTATCATTTTCGATCTATTTTAGTGACGTTTAATTACTTCGAAACCAGACTCTTGTCTGCATCGTGTTTTGAAGTCATCTGCTTACGGTGTATGCTTTAATGATTGTCAGAGGGCTCAAGGCATCCGGTGCAGACGTTCGAGTTACTAGTTCCATTTACGGGAGCTTTAACAATCGGGAATTCATTGGTGCACAACGTATGAGGTAAGTGTTGAAAGTACCACTATCGATGCTAATTCACTGGTTATAAATTCGTACTATTTGTTATGTATCATCACCTGAATCCCTATTGATGGAATTGCAATGAGCAAGAATCAGCATCTTTGCTACGGAAATATCAAAGAACTTCGTGTTCCACGAAAATCTGGAATAAGATTTTCAAATCAATGACAGTTCATCATCTTTTGCGCTGGCCGTCCAGGTTTCGGCAGATGCACTATCACAACGAGATCTTTAAGAAGGCAAATATTATCATCTCACCGACCACAGGGTGAGGCAAATTGAAGTGGAACAGAGTTGATTGAGATTCCGATTTTTTGCGACCATTATAATCAATTCATTCTTTGAATTCTATAGTTGATAAGGCTATGCATAGTCAAATTTGAATTGGATTGAGCAGCACGGACTGATATACAAGAAGTGTTTTTCCTAAATGCACTTGGATAATATTAGAGCAACTGCACCGTTAATTCGACGTGCTGCCGAAAAATGTGGAGAGCTTGATTATGTTGTTGGAGGTAAAGCATTCATCCTCTTCTTAATTCTAATTTCACCTTTAGTGACCAACCATGTTTTCAACTGCGTGAACTTGATTCGCTTCTGGTTGTGTAGGGTTGCGGACGTCCTGTGAATGCTTATATTTAACATCTTTACCATGCGGAGTAAAATCTTTAGACGATTGTTCAGACGATTGTTTATTACATCACTTCAATACTGCATGTTTATTACAATATTCCCGCAAGAATATTTACTTTTACTCTCGTGTTGCAGCCAAGTTAATGCGGTATCAGATAGCTGGAAACTTCCTTGGATTGCCAGCCCTCTCTGTACCGGTATGTTTATTCTAGTTTCCAGGGTTAGCCAGATCAAGCTCATGCCAAGTGGTTCAATAATTTAAGGCAAAAATCCTCCTCATTAGGAGAAGCAGGTTAGAGAATAGTCTAAGTCTAATCTTAATCTTGACAAATCCTAACATCACCAACCGAAAATCGAAATTGGTTGTGTGATCTGAGTCCCATTAATTTAGTTTCAGTTTGAGTTTCAGGTTGGACATGATGCGGATGGTTTACCAATTGGGATGCAACTTATCGGTCGCCCATGGTCAGAAGCGACCTTACTGCAAGTAGCAGCTGTGATCGAGGTCTCTCCTCTCTCTCTCTCTCTCTCTCTCTCTCTCTTTAACAGTCTGTTTCAGTGCCAGTAAAGTTCTAACTGCTACTGAACTGAATTGATGTAAAGTGACTTTCTTGTAGTCTCAGTAGTATTCCCATGTGGCAAATCTTTTGAGGTCGTATGAGGTGGAACAATATGAAGTTTAATGGTCACTATTGATTTTGTTCTTGTTTTTGATTGTGATCACAGAGACTGTGTTCCCCATTCCAACGACGACCTGAGGTCTTGTACGATCTGCTCTCAACACCTAACAAGTAGTAGAAATTTTACGGCGCTCCACAGCCGCTCACAAGTTCTGTTTCTCTTCAAAGATTCATATTAGGTATTACTTCAGAATTTGTACTTCGGTATTAGAACATTGCATCAAATTTTTCGCTTCTTCACTTACAGTGTAGAAAGTGACCAACGAACCCAGAAGAAGGGCAAAATGTCTGTCCACATTGGCAGCAGTGCGTTGGAAGCATTCACAAGTGCAAATCACCAATAATGCATTCATGAACTCATCACCGCAGCAAATGTCCAGATGCGCCATTCACAGCAATATCGCACGTGAGCTGTTGAGCACAAAGGTGATTCCTGTCACCCCAACGGCTATGTCCTCCCCTCGCTTGGCGGCCTCCCAGACAGTGCAACATCTGCGTCACTTCTGCTTTTGGAACGTAACCACATGAGACATAACGGTCTACAAAGACGAGGCGGGGGATGTTGCTGAGCTCGCGCAGGCTTCACTGGTGCCTGCCTTCAGCGAATTTTAGGTCAGAATACCCGAATCCCGAGTACTTCTCCTACAAGCATCCCGGCCGGGAGAAAAACTTTGCGTAATGAGTGATGGTTGCTTTTTCTCACAATCATTCCAATTCCTACATGAAGTTCGGAATCTACAATTTCCAGCTCAAGAACACAGCAACAAAACAGTGATTGACGCGGTGGTTCAGTTGCAATTGGTTGCGAAACTGAACTCTTGAAGCCCAAACCGATTGGAATGTAACAAAAGCAAGGCAACTTAATTTCCTAAAAACATCTGCAGCGAAGCGCGAGTGAGAGTATAAACACAGACGCCCCATGCTCGGTTGCAAGCTCGCTATCCCACTCTCTCTGTTTCTATCTGTCTCGCGCTCTCATATTCTGGACAACGAACTTTAGACTGGAGAGGGGAGAAGCATTCTGGGGCTCCCCAGATAGGACCCCTAAAACTGCCCCAGCGGCACCTCCGACAACCTCCCCTTCCTCTGGCGCAACTTCATAACGACCGCTTCACAAAATCCGAATGAAGCCACGTAATGGCATCACCCGCCCCAATTTTAATTTTGATTTTAACTAAGGATTAGCTAACTTCATCTATTTACACGAGTATTTTATAGGATAAGATTCTTTATGTTCTATGGAACTTGCATATTTATGTTTTTCCAGTTTTTAAGTATTTATATGATTACAAAAGTTCTTAAAATTATATATTTAAAAGTTTACATTTTTAGTCTAATTTTTCATATTGAAAACATATGTTTTGAGCACAAATGTGGTTTTAAAATATTCTAATCAATCTTCTCCTCTAAGATAGTAATAGTTTTTCTTTTCTTTTTATTTAAAATAAAAAATCTTTCCTTAAGAAAATATTATTGCACAATTTATTGCATGTTACTTATTATAAATTTATGACACAACCAATGCCATCATAATGCCATCATAATGCCATCATAGTTTTTGCTTTTACCATCACAACTTGCCATTCACAACATGCCATCCACACTTTTTTGTCCATGTTATTAATAAAAATAGATTTATTGTTTTTACTAACGATAAGAAATAATATTGAAATAAAATATTAAATATTAAAATATTGATAAACATATTGAGTGGACAACAAGTTACGATGATAGTAGCAAGAACTATGGTGGCCTTGACAACACCCTAAATCTATCTTCTGCAATTTTAATTAACATATTGTAATTAAAAACGAACTGGATGAATGAAAAAGAAAACATGATCCCCAATCTCTCACTTAGAGGGCCGGTAAGATCATCGCCAAATGGGCTTCAAAGGAAGCAGTGACCTATCCACGTCCTCTGGGAAATCAAGCGAAACCTCACTCGAAGTTTCTCGGATTCTAGAGTGACGACGCTGCCCCTTCGCGAGACATGGCGAGCTCCAGCCAACAACGATGGAATCTCATTGCGTTTCCATTATTTCACTGTCCCACTCATTAGGATCTTCGATGAGTTTTTTCGCAAAAAGAGATCGTCACCGTTTTAAGAACCCAGAGCTCCATCCCAAAGACTGCCACACCATGCCTCGAGAGCCTCTTCATGGTGCCAAGGTCACAGTTGTGTCTGCATGGCAGACAGGATGCTGGGGTCTGCATTCCTCCGTGCAGACACTCCACATTGTGTATTTAGGTCTTTATTGTCGAGAGCAGAAAGATAGACCCACATTCACGAGTGCCTATTCAGACTCTTCAGTGCACCAGCGTCAGTGAGCGGATTGATCGAGTAAGTTCTGGTGTGGTTTTATCTACACCTTCCTCTGCAGTTCTTTCAACACCTCTTGTTTGGTTTTCGCTCTACCTCTCTTCCGTTGTTATCTCACCTATGGTTATGTAGTTCTGTCTCCAACTTTCTTTTGTAGAATCTTCTCGACTAGTCTAGTCTAGTCATTATTAAATTTTTCAATTTAATGCAATCAAAATAAGAAATAACAAAATTTAACCCATGAAAAAGCATTCATCTTCAGAAGTTTTAATAATCAATTAATAGTATTTTACTTTATAATCTCTATTATGTTTAAACATTTTTTTTTGTTTTGGTAATTATCATTAGATGTTAGAAATTTAATCTTTAGCTTTAAAATTATTTTTAATATATCAATATTATATAATATAATTTATTATAATTTAGACATAGTTTTTTTGGTTATTATATTTTATACTTTTTTATGTTAGAATTGGAGACATGAATATGGACATAATTCTAAAAAGACAATATATTCTTATCTCATTGAGAAAGAGAAATTATACAAAAAAGAACTACTTTTAAGATAGAAAAATAAAATAAAATAGCTATTTCCAATTTCAAAGAATTAAAGAGCTTTGAATCAAGACTAGAATACAAAAAAGATATTGCCAACAATGAAGATTGTTCAGATCTTGTCTTTATGTATATTAAATACCAATAAGATTTATAAGAACCACATGCTCGTGGCAAAAGTATCAAGTTGTAGGTTGCTTCCAATACAACCTCCTAACAAACAAAAACTTTATAAAACAAGTTTCAATAGTTTTGTAGTATATTTATAAAAGTCTAAATATCTAATTTATACTTAAAAAACTTTCTTGAAGTTTTTTACAAAAGTTGTTATCTACTTCACATATTTCTACATGCAATTTTTTATTTATATATATCTAAATGTTAAGGATATGAATTTCAAAGAATTAAAAGATCAATACATTCTTGTGTCACATAAAAGATCTGAAAAATCACTCAAAGATGATATGATATTAAATTACAATGGCTATTGCTAAAGACAAGAAGACTGAAAGTCTTGAAACAAGACTAAAGACTAGAAATGCATCGACAAGAGTAAGAAAGGCTTTACTCTTATATCTATAAATACTATCCAAGCTATATGACAATATCCTATAGAATCTCTAATACATGTTTAATTTGCAAGACACATATTTTAACTTGTAAGAAAAATTTTCTATATGTACATGACATCATTAGTTTATATCACAAGCTATCTACGTGTGCTACATATAGCTAATTTGTTAGCTAAGTTTTTAATCTACCAATAAATTATAAAGTTGTATAAAGTCAAATATTATTAAAGACAAGAACTTTATAAAAACAAATAAAGAAGTGAGACTTTTTCAAAGAAGTATAATAAAATAGAAATTAATATATATATATATATTAAAAAGAAACTAGAATGGCTATTGCTAAAAGATAAGAAAACTTGAGACTTCTTGAAACTAAAGTAGAAATAAGAAAGAAATTGACAAGAGTAAAGAAGGCTTCACTTTTGTATTTATATATACTATCTACTTAAGAACTATGTAGTGACATTCTATAGGACTTCTAAAACATGTTGACTTTACACAACACTTATCTTAACTTGCAAGAAAATTTTTCTATATAGATGCCATATAATTAGCTTTTTTTTCAAGCTATCAATATGTATGGAATATGGTTAACTTCTTCACCAAGTTTCTAACCTACCAATTAACTATAAAAACATATAAAATCAAAGTAACATCTAAGAAGCTTTTAAAAAGTTTTCTTAAAAGCCATAATGAAATTAATCTATTTTTACCTATTTCTACCTATTCATATTATTTAGGTAATAATTATTATAAATATATGTCTGTGATATTATCTTTCTTATATAAATGAATTCTATGAGAAGCAGTAATCACATATCAAGAAGTCTAAGGTATAGCAAATTGAATTTGCCGTATATTTTGATATTTATTTTCTTTAAAAATATTTGATAGGTCCTCTCAGCCATCAATAATGTTCTATTCTAAGGAAAGAAGATCACCCTATTATTTGATCATTATTGAGACCTTCATAACTTCTTTCAAACAAATGATTTGTAACACCATCAAGAATTGTTTCTACCTCCAATAAAATCACCAAACATTGAGATTGACTTCTAAGGTTGTGATATCAAATGCGTTGTATCTTGCCATCTATTTAAGGAAAAATATGATGCTCTTGAAGGTCTTCATCTCTATTACGTTGTCTTAAAGGCTATAATAATAACAATATCTTATTCAATAAGTGAGAAAATAATGATTTTTGAGTAAAATTTGCTAACTATTGATTTTCCATCTCTTTAATGCCACAATTATACAAGAACAATAAACGAGGATAGAAGGTAGAATGCAATATTTTCTTAATTATGTTTCTTTTATAGCAAAGATTTGCTATTCTTCATCTTACTTTTGCTAGATGTTATTGATGAAAAGATTTGATCTTTTTTGCTATATTTATAAAGAAAATTATTGTCTCCCCTGTATATTTGATAATATCATATCAATACCAATGAATAAGATATTTCAACCTAATTCGCCATTGTCTCAAGACTAAAACTTCTTTTATTTCAAATTCTTGATTATTATCTACTTCTATAGGAGGTAGTGGTATTTTCTTTCTTTCTAGGATATTTACTATCTTATATGGCTTCAAAAGATACAAGTAAAATATGAGATGGATTTTTATACACTCCAATAAACATAATTAATAAGTAACTCAATTGACTTGTTCACAAATAGGAAATGGTCTAAGTCTATAGTAATTCAATTTATCACAAGGGCAAATAGTATTAATATTATAATGAAGTAGTTATATCTTAATACCAATATAGGCATCCATGTTGTTTTTTTGTTATTCTTGAGCCTCTTTTAGTTGTACCTTTATTGTTATATGCAACTCAAACAAATGATTTGCCAATTCTTTTGCTACATGATTATCAACTTTTGAAAAGTCAAAAATATCTAATTATTGATGATAACCATAATTAGCAAAAAAAAAATATTTGTTGCATAAAAAAATATATTATTGTTATATTATATATTATCTTATTTGGAAATGTATTGAATATCTAACTATAGAAGGTAAAGTTGTATTTTATAAGTATCTAAAATATCTTAATAAATTTCATCTAGATAAGAAGAATATAATTTGAATTTCAATTCAAAAGTGCTTAAAATTAATAAAAAGTATCCAAAAACACTCTTCTTAATAACCTCAACCATACACAAAGTTCAATTACCTTATTAAGTTTATAATTAGATAATCTTGATTTTTCTTTGTAAGTTCTAATTCTAGTCAATAAACTTTACTAAGCTATAACCTCTAAATTGACTATCTACTTGGTACAAAATTTTATACACAAATTACATTATAAGTCTTTTACATACTCAATTTTTTTTTTATTCTAATACAACTTATAAATTATGAGAAAACATCCAAAAAATCATATTGATATTACTCAACGACCAATTCAAAAGTTGATGTAGACGTTTTAGTAGTAATTTCTTATTTTCCAACTATTAACTTGAATTCAAAATTAGTGTGTAGTTTAATCTTCAAGTCTTTTAAGACCATGCTAAATGTCGCCTTTTTTTGATTAGTAGATCTTTAAATATCATAAAAATCCTATTTAATCTCAAATTGCTAACTTCTAATATCTTCTTGAATCAAAAACTAGATATCTTTAAATTGCATCATTAAATTAATACAAAATTTTATGCAGACTTAGTACACTTAATCAACCAAGTGCTATTAAGTTTTCAACTTTAGATGTGATATCAATTGCATGAACTAACTAAGAATATTAACCTTAATTGTATTTCATAAATCCAAAATTACCAATATAAATCTTCACTTTGAACAAAAATTACAAATTCAATTCAAATCCTATAAAAATAAGCCTTATGT